CATGGTGATGGTGGTGATGGTGGAGATGGAGGTGGGGATGATGATGGTGATGGTGGTGATGGAGATGGTGGCTGTGGTCATGGTGATGGTGGTGACGGAGATGGTGATGGTGGTGATGTTGGAGATGGTGGCTGTAGTCATGGTGGTGGTAGTGATGGTGATGGTGATGGTGGTGATGGAGATGGTGGTGGTGATGGAGATGGTGGTGACGGAGATGCTGATTGTGGTGATGTTGGAGATGGTGGCTGTGGTCATGGTGATGGTGGTGATGGAGATGGTGGTGACAGAGATGGTGATGGTGGTGATGGTGATGGTGATGGTGATGGAGGTGATGGTGATGATGGTGGTGATGGAGATGCTGATGGTAGTGGTGATGAAGATGCTGGTTGTGGTGATGGTGATGGTGGTGGTGACAGAGATGGTGATGGTGGTGATGTTGGAGATGCTGGCTGTGGTCATGGTGATGAGGGTGATGGTGATACTTGGGATGATGATGGTCATGATGATGGCAGTGGCAGCAGTGCTGACCCTGACCTCAAGGCCCGCCCCTCCCCCAGGCCTCGTGCGGGAGCAGGAGGCGGGGCTGCTGCAGTTCCTCCGCCTGGACGGCTTCTCAGTGCTGATGCGGGCCATGCAGCAGCAGGTGCAGAAGCTCAAGGTGAAGTCGGCGTTCCTGCTGCAGAACCTGCTGGTGGGCCACCCCGAGCACAAAGGTGGGGCGGCCTCCCCGGGGGGAGCAGCGGCTGGCCCTGGGCGGGGGGACTGCCCTCTGACCTGTGGCCCTCCCCAGGGACGCTGTGCTCCATGGGGATGGTCCAGCAGCTGGTGGCCCTGGTGCGGACTGAACACAGCCCCTTCCACGAGCACGTGCTTGGAGCCCTGTGCAGGTGTGCGGGGCCTCACGGCGGGCGGCCTGGGGGCCCACGGCATGGACCTTCCTGTGGGGACGGAAGGGCCCACAGATGCAGGGGTCACAGGGCCTCGGTTCCTCTCCTGTGCAGCTCGCACAGCCACCCTAGGAGAGGGAGGCCTGTGCTCTTTCTTGCTATTACAGTCAGATTAGTGTTTTTAAAAAAAAATGGCAGAGTAGCCAGCCATGGTGGCGTACACCTCTAATGCCAGCACTTGGGAGGCTGAGGCAGGAGGATTGCTGGAACTTCAAGCACCTTCGAGGCCAGCTTGGACTACATATTGAGACACTGTCTCAAAAAAAAGCAGAATGGAGCAATGGAGCAAGTGGGTTCTGAGGTTGACCCTGTGCCAGGCACTGTGTCACATGCCTGTCTGTTACTAGTGTCATTGTGATCCCTGGGACTCTGCAGGGCAGCCTGAGGTCCATTATGCAGGTGGGCAAACTGAGGCCCAGTATAAGGCAGTGACACCTTCTGGCTGCTATGGAGCAGTGGGGGTGGGCAGGGAACCTGGGCTGGGTCTGTGGCGGAGGGGGTCCCTAAGGCAGCCCCTGTGCCCTGCAGCCTGGTGACAGATTTCCCTCAGGGTGTGCGTGAGTGCCGGGAGCCAGAGCTGGGCCTGGAGGAGCTGCTGCGCCATCGCTGCCAGCTGCTGCAGCAGCACGAGGAGTACCAGGTGCGTAGGCGTGGGCACGGGCTCCCCTCTCCCTCCTCTCCCTCGCGCCCTGGCTGGGTTGGTGCAGGGAGGACAGCGAGGAGCACCGGGAAGGTTTCATTCAATCTCACTGAATTGATAAGTAAATGGCAGATATTTACTTGATGAGGCGGTGCATAGCAAGTGATAATGTATTATCTGGTTAAATGGATAAGTGATAGATAGGTAAGTTGCAAGTGGTCAGTCACAGGTACTTATATATTCATCGTTGTCTGATCATTTCAGTGGAGTTGGTATGGCTCATGGCCGTCATCCCTGCATTCTGGGAGGCTGAGGCTGGAGGATCACAAGTTTATGCAATTGAAAGTTTGGCAGTTTGGGGACTTTGGTGAGACTCTGTCTCAAAAAATAAAAAGGAGCCAGGCATGGTGGCACACTCCTGTAATCCCAGCACTTGGGAGGCTGAGGCAGTAGATTGCCGTGAGTTTGAAGCCAGCCTGGGCTCCATAGTGAGATCAAGGCCAGCCTGAACCGCATAGTGAGATCCTATCTCAAAACGACTAAAGCAAAACCTAATAAAATAATAATAATAAAAATAATAATGATGATGCCGGGCATGGTGGCACACACCTATAATCCCAGCACTTGGGAGGCTGAGGCAGGAGGATCGTTGTGAATTTGAGATTAGCCTGGGATACAAAGTGAGCTCAATGCCAGCATGAACTGTGTAGTGAGACCCTGTCTCAAAAAGACCAAAAAAAAAAGTAAATAAATAAAAAGGACTGAATGTAAATCATCATGTACTGCAAACATGTACTAATAAAAGTTAAAAAGAAAGAGCCAGGAGTTGGGGGTACACACCTGTAACCCTAGCACTTGGGAGGCTGATGCAGGAGGATTGCTGTGAGTTTGAGGCCAGCCTGGACTACATAGAGAAACCCTGTCTCAAACAAAACAAAACAAAACAAAACAACGAATGACTAAAAAAGGGGGCCAGGCTGAGGATGTAGCTCAGTAGGAAGGCCCTGTGTTCAATACCTAGGATGACAAAAAAACCCCTTTTGTTGGTGCTATGGCACATACCTATAATCCCAGCTACTCAGGATGCTGAGGTAGCTAAATCACAAGTTTGAGCCCAGACTGGCCAACTTGATGAGATCTTGTCTCATAAAAAGTGCTACGTGTGCAGCACAGTGGGAGAGCCCTCGCCTTGCACATGCCAGGCCCTGTGTTAATCCCCAGTTCTGCAGTCAGTCCATCCGTCAGTAAGTCAGTCCCCCTCTGGATGTGTCATTTTGGATGTGTGTCTCTGTAGAACCCGTTTTAGGAAGGGCGTGTGGGGTAAGTTACCTGAAAGGTGAAAGGGAAAGGGTTCCGTCCGTTTGGTTGTGACCGCTGAGCTGCTCTCCCCGAGGCTCGGCCGCAGCAGGCCGGGCTCCCCATCCTGTGTGACGTTACAGGTTGCGCACCACACCCAGCTGGACGTCTTTTCCTGTGAGCTCTGCCTGCCCATCCTCTGCCCGTTTAGCTATCGCGTGTGTGTGTGTGCCTCCTGCTGCACCCCGCTGAGTAGCTGGGACTGCTGCTACGCCACTGTGCCTGGCTGTTTCTTTCCTCCAACTAGTTTTTCGTTTGCTTTTCTTTCTGGAGTTTTCTGATGAGGAGGTGTCTTTTCTGTTCAGGTCCACTCTTTCCTGGCCTCTGGGGTTTGTACCTGAGGAAGGGGCTGGGGCTGAGAGGGGTGAGAGGACTGACTGCCGGGAGCGAGAAACGCGTAAGGGGCTGCCATGAGCACCGGAGCACTGGGAACGGCTCAGAGGGGAAGCCCCGGGCCTCCCATGGCTGGCGAGGCAGGGTGGCTCCTGGGTGGGTGTGCTGGAGGCAGGCCTGGCGTCCCCACTCAGGACCCCCTCGCCTTACTCCAGGAGGAGCTGGAGTTCTGCGAGAAGCTGCTGCAGACCTGCTTCTCCAGCCCGACGGACGACAGCATGGATCGGTGAAATCAGGCGGCCTCTTGCCCTCTCTGTGGAACCCCAGGCCTCCTGCCTCCCTCCCTGCCGAGACGCCCTCTGCGGTGGATCACAGGGCCTGTCAGGGCCTGGGCCTGGGGTGTGCCACCTACTTCCGGGCAGCCCCCTGGAGGGGACCCTGAGGATGGTGCTGGCTCCTGGGACCCCCTCCTGGCTCTCATCCCCCAACCTGTGTCTGCACTGTTCTCCCAATAAAGGTGTTTCTCTTGCTCCCCTCCACCGCCGCCTTTGTCACCTCCTCCAGAGGGTGCCTCGGAGCGGGCAGGTGAGGCCTAAACTTAGGGGTTTGGGGAGCCACTGTGGGGACAATAAAGGTGTTCTCTTTATCATCCACAAAGCTGTGGTCTCTTCCATCTCCAGACTCGTGAGAGTGTGGGGAGCACCTTTCTTTTTTGGCTACACAGCATCCCTGAGTTCTCAAAGTTTGATTGGCGGTCCTAAGGTAGAAGCCACTTTCTTTCCCGGCATCCCTTGCAGTGGGGCACCCATGTGACTCCAGCTCCACCCGTCAGAGCCCCAGGAAAAGTCTGGCTGGGGCTGGTGATGGAGCAGGCCGTGCCCTGGGGTGTTCTGGCCAGGCCAGGAGCTCACACACCTGACTTCTAGAGGGCGTGGGCAGAGGTTCTGGCTGGAGTGGCCGAGTTGGGTGCCACTGGTGGTTACCGCTGTGTTCCAGGAGCAGGCTTACGGTTGAGTGTGGGCTTCTGCCTCAGAGTGCCAAGCCTGACTCTGGAACACTCTGAGACTGGAGGGGGACCGCCACATCCCCTTAGTAAACTTTTTTGGAGATGTCCTTGAACTGGAGGATAATTCTGTTTCAGCCTTGCAAGTGCTGGAATTGAAATGTATTACCATGCCTGGCTCAGTTCCTTTTTTTTCCAAAATGGGGTCTCTCTATGTAATCCAGGCTGTCTTTGAACTCCAGGCAATCTTCCTGCCTCAGCCTCCTGAGTACAGGGATGACAGGCATGCATCACCATGTGTTCCTTTTTAAAGGCAGTTTTGTCTGTTAGTTTCTTTTTTTTTTTTTTTCTTTTTTTTGGTTTTTCTCCGGTATCGGGAACCTAACTCACGACCTTGTGCTTGCCAGGCAGGCGCTTTTTGCTACTGAGCTAAATCTCCAGCCCCTAAAGGCAGTTTTGTCATTTGTACCCAAGGGTACCGATAGAAGCAGGGTTTTCTTTTGTTGTTGTTTCGGTGGTACTGGGGATTAAACCCAGGGCCTTTGCGCTGAGCTACGTTCCCCAGCCCTTTTTTTGATACAGGGTCTCACTAAGTCTTTAAGCTTCCTGCCATGGGCTGATTCTGGTTTTTAAGAGAAGCTGAACTCAGGTAGTTAATCCCTGGCCAAGTCCAATCTGGGGTTCAGCCCTGGGCTAGTCCCAAACCTGTGCTTCTCTCCCTGTGTCCTGGGCTCCCCTGGGTCCAGGCTCGTCTCTCCTGTGGGTTGGCATCTCCTAGACACCTGGCATTTTTCAGTTGATCCCAGATTCAGGACCCATCCAGAAGGCTGTAGGATCTGAGAACGGAGACCAAATGCCACTTTCATGACGGTTAGCGCGAGCAGGGAGTGTTTCAGCCTTGCTGAGCAGGAGTGACCCACGTCCTGCTGGGGGAAGAGTTGAGGACAGAGGAGCAGAAGTTCCTTCTTGTGGAAACGTGCAGCTGGAGAGTCTTCCACCCTGCACGTTTTACAGCGTCTTGCCATGTAGTTCAGCTGGCTTTGAACTCACTATGTACCCCAGGCTGGCCTCAAACTCCTCAGCCTCCTGAGTGCTGGGATTACAGGAGTGCACCTCACACCTAGCCCCACTGTGCACTTTTAAGAAGTCCTAATTTTAGTTAAAACAACAGCAGCATCCGTGTGATTTCTCAGGTTGGAGAGCCAGCTGTTGGTCCTTATAGCCCTTGCAGCTTTCCGTATCCTGGAGAACTCTTCCTGCTCAGGTTCCACTTGATGTCTGAGTACGCCTACCCTCCTGTCTCTCAGCTCCCGGGACCATGTTTAAACAGTGTGGCAAGATGGACATGCTGGTGGTGCGTGCCTGTTACCCCAGCACTCTGGGGAGCTGAGGCAGGAGGATCACAAATTCAAGCCCAGCCTGGGCAATTTAGGGATTTAGTGACACCCTGTTTCAAAATAAAAAAAGGACAGGGGGTATAGCTCAGTGGAAAGGCCTTGAGTTCAATCCCCACTAACATTAAAAACCAAACCAGGGGCTGGGGATTTAGCTTACTGGCACAGTGCCTGCCTGGCAAGCGCAGGGTCATGAGTTTGATTCCCAGTACCGGAAAAAAAAAACAAACAAAAACTAATGTGGTAGTGATGCCCACATATTGTGGCGGAAAACACAGACACCAAATGCTATAGAAGGCAAGCAGTCCCAGAATAAGAACCATAATAATAAAAACCATCCATTGTGATGGATGATTTTAGGGATTCGTGTGATTGGCTAGGGATGCCCAGAGAGCTCATAAAGCAATTTCTGCATGCCTATGAGGGTGTTTTTGGAAGAGGTTAAGTAAACCGAGAGAAGACCTGTGCCCCTCGATGTGGGTGGGCATCACTGTGGGTAACCGCGGAGGGCCCACAGGACAGGAGGTGGGGGCAGACTTACTCTGTGAGCCGGACCACCCCTCTTCTACCTCGGTCCTCGGCGCTCCTGTTCTAGGGCGTCTGGGTCAGACCAGGACTTACACCAGCATGTCTCTGATTCTCTGTCCTTCGGCTGTGTCCTGGACTACAGCAGTGGCCCCCGGGGGTCTGGTGGGTCTTCACAGCCTCCATACTGTGGAGACTGATTCCTCAACATAAAGCACTTTCTATGCACCCGTGAATGTCCTGTTGGTTCTGTGTCTCTGGAAAAACTGACGGAAATGCTCACAGGCGCCTGAAGCTATAAAACGTGTGGAACCTGAGTCTACTTTGTGATGCGCCCTTAAAGATTACAAGGGAAGACTGGTAAACCTCAGCAGAGGCACTAAAGACCCTGGCAAACTAGAGTGTGGAGTGAGTGCCACCCGGCCTCCCACTCTGTCTCTGCCAGGTAAGGACTTCTCTACCCAGGGTGCTTGGAGCAGGCGCACCTGCCCGAGGCGGTGGCCTGACCATGTGACTTGCTTTGGCCAATGGATTGGGCAGACGGGAGACAACCAGTGCGTCTGCCTTTTATTATGTGGTGCCTGAGACTCGAGCAGAACCCCCTCATCAGCCTTCAAGCTGTGAACGTGCTGCCAGCAACTGAGGTGATCTGTCACACAGCATTAGCTAGCTGATACAAGGCCAACCAACACCACGTGCAACACTAGAAACAGCAGAAGCTGGGCAGGCTGGTGCACACCTGTAACCCCAGCACTCTGGGAGGCTGAGGCAGGAGGATTTCAAGATTAAGTCCAATGTGAGCAATTTAGCGACTTAGGGAGACCCTATCTCAACAAAGGCTGGGGATCTAGCTCAGTGCAAAGGTCTTGAGTTCAATCCCCCGTGGGGGGTGGGGGACACAAATAACTAGAACAGTACACCACTCTTAAATGGGTCCATACAGCACTCCGGAAATGAAAAACATTGATCTGCAGGTTAGGAGGGTTCCGTGCATGCACGCACTTCATTCGTCCAGTCCTCACAGGGCGCCCCTGCACGGCCAGGCGGGGAAGCTTTGAAGGGTGGGAGCACTGAGGCTCAGAACCTTGTGGGCTCAATAACGGCAAGGTCCGGAGAACCCCGCCAGTGCCGTTCCCGCGGAGGCTTTGTGCATCAACAGGCGACAGCGACACGGCTGGCGCGCGGGGCGGGGGGCCTGAGGTCACCCCAGGTGCCGAGGCGACGTCGCCAGGGGCCCGGGAACCAAAGCTCAGGCGCGAGGCGAGGCGAAAGCCTGGCCGGATCCGGGCTCGAACCCAGGGCAGAGCGGAACGGGCGTGCGGGAGCGACAGTGCAACCAGAGTCCCGAAGCCGGCAGAAAACTTGGGACCCGGAAGCTCCCAGAGCTTCGGAGCCGGGGGGCGGGGACTCGTGGGCAGTGGCGCCTGCGCACTGGTCCGTCTGGGTTTATTCGGGGAGACCGTTGGCACCAACGGCCGGAGGCGTTCTGCAGTCGGCGGTGTCGCGCCCGGCCGGCAGTGCGCACGCGCGCCGCCGGGCTCCTGCGCGCGGCCTCTGCGCACCTGCGCACCGAGCCGGCCGTGGGGGGCGGGGCCTGCGTCTCAGCCCGGGGCATTGTGGGACGGTGGCGGAGCGAGCCGGGCGTCGGGCCTCAGCGGCTGCAGACCTGGGCACTGCGGGGAAGGCGGCGGCTGAGGAAGCGGGCCTCGGCCTCGGTTGTCCGATACGCGGCTCTGAGCGCCGGGCGGGCTGAGCAGGCGGACGTCTTCCCGGCCTGCGGACGCCGGCCCGGCTGGGGACCCCGGCGACTTCCCCGTCCCTGCC